TAGTACAGGATATTGAAAAAATGCAGAGTTGGGTACAGGACAACGTCTGTCGGGTCATCTAGTATATATATATATATATATATATATATATATATATATATACGAAGTGAATTCAAATGCAACCTATTCATGACAGACAGTATTTAAGACCCATTTTCCATTTATACAAAAAAACTTAATTACATTGAATATTAAAAATTGAGATAATATGATCTATAATGTACACAACAAGACGTCGGCCTCGCTCTGCATAAAGATCGAAGCTGTGAAGAAAATTGTTGCGCAGCATGTTCACAAAACAGTCGGTTGATGCAAAGCAACTTATTCGGTTGTATTTGCCATGAGATGGGTGACAACACAGTTTATTCTAAAAAAGAATCATCGAAAATAACCCTCAGAAGCTCATTAATTACGTTTGTGTTTACGCTGAAAGCAAGCGATAAATTATGTTTTTAGTTATGGCATCAAAGCAAATATTAATTGTTACTTGTCTTATTGTTTTGTAATAATTCATAGCACATAGACAAATACAACACCGCACATACAGCAATAATTGTTTCATTTGAAAGTGATATATTAAATTAATGTTTGCGTGCGCAATTTTTGGAAATATGTGAAAAATATTAGAGTTGGTGAAAAGTTTGTACACGCCCCAATATCCACTGTAATCAGTTGCATATCAAAAATGATTTGGCAGCATTGTTATTTTTAGCAGAAACAGTAAATAAAATTTACTCCAACCATGTTTTACTAGCCAGTGTATTCGAAATTCGTTTGGAACAATTTGTGTCGTGAGGTTGCGACAGATCATTAACGACGTGTAAATAGATTTAAGAAAAAGCGCAAAGCATTCACATTTTGGGGGTTTTTCATTTAAAGATAACAATTTTTCTCGTCATCTTTAAGATAAAAGATAGAATGTATAGCTCATACATTTGAAAAATTGTCTAATCAGTTGAAATGTTTCTGTCTCGCACATTGGAACTCCCGCGTACAATAAGTATTTGAGCTCAATGTGAGTGAAATGTACTAGCAAAATGCGCCAGCGTTTGCTGTAACTTGCCAACACACTTCAGTTTTTTTTAACAAAACAGTCTAAATTCTTGAAAACTTGGATCAAATGTGTCATATTCATTCTTAATTTATATAGCAAAGACTTAATCGCAATGTATATCGTGTTGGCATCGTGTTTAAGGCAAATTGCTGGAACTTCCCGTACCGTAACAAAATGTTCGAGGCATATTAAATGTAAATTTCCGATATACATTTTTTTCCAAAACCAACTGTTTCGTCAACACAAGCAGAAAGTTTTTTGACTCATTCAAATCGGATGCTTATTTCTCTCAAAAACTGTCATTTTTTGAACATTTACCTCTGTATCTTCGAAATGACTGGACCTGTCTTTGCTAAAAACTAATCACCACTTCTCCTAATCATTACAAATTGAATTTTTTTAGATCATTCAAATCGCATGCTCCGTTCTCTCAAAAACTCGATTTCTATTTTCTGCCCTCTTTGCTCTTTATCTTTGTAACGGCTGGACCTGCCTTTGCCAAAAACTAATCAGCACATCTCCCTATCAATAGGAATCAAATGTTTTTTGTACCATTCAAATCGCTGATCCGTGCGCCCGAAAACGTGAACGAAAAAATGCGGACACACAAAACACACGCGCACACACATCCATTTTTTCTGAGGTATGCCAAAATGTTCAGAAACCTTCAAAACGTGGTGAAATGCAAAAATTTTCATTTTCGATTTTCGGCCCATTACTATAGTACCCTAACAGAACGTAATCGAGCTCAGTTTGAATGAAATTATTAAAGGACCTTATTATCATATTTCTAATTGTAAGAATTATTTAGAATAACGTATATAAAACAGATCAATTTCGAAACTGAATTAACTGAATTAAACTTAAAATTATATATTTTAATTATATAAGCAAGCTCTTAATTATCTTTTTTAAATATTTTGATTGTTTTCAAAATGTTAAATCTGTCTTCGAAACAAAATTATCATTTTTTACAACGCCAACAAAAGCAAATTGTTTTCATATCATTCTAATTGGATGTTCAGATCTCTCAAAAACTATGCATAGCTATTTTTGGCGCCTTTTGCGCTCCGTACCTTCAAAATGGCTGGACCTGCTTTTCGCAAAAACTGTCTCGCAGTTAGTACAAACCGAATGTATTTCGAATCATCAAGTTCGAATCATACAGTCGAAAACGTCGAAGATATTTGTTTGAACCTTATTAGTGAACTTTAAAAATTAAAAATCTTGGTACGAAATTGAAACAAAATCAGTACTCATTCTTAAGATCGCTATTAAAAATGCAATTTTTTTTTAATTTTTTTCAAACCGCTAGTTTTGCCTTCCTAAAAGCGTTAAAATGATTTTAAAACATTAAAATCGGACGCTTCATTCTCTGAAAAACTGAATTGCGATTTTTGCGCACTTTTTGCCCATATTTTCGAAACCGTGGAACTTGTCTTTGCTAAAAACTAATCAGCATGTCTTCCTATCAATGGAATGCTTTTTGAATATTTAAAATCGGTTAATCAGTGCTCCCTAAAACGTTGGGGTCAAATTGTATCCGCACTTCATTCACACACACATACATGCATTCACACACACAAAAATACATACACACGCATCCATTTTTTATCAGGTATGCCAAAATGTTCAGAAACCTTTGAACGTAAACGTATGCAAAAATTTTCATTTTCGATGATTGCGATAACAGTTTCGATTTGAAACAATTTGTTTCATGATAGTTACAATCAATACTATCACCCATTATCGGCTTGACGTTGAGTTCTGTAATTATTCTTGTGAATTGATACTTTAATTTATATACTGTTACAATACTCCTTTGTGAACACAAAAACAAATTTTGTAATATGTACTTGTAATCATAATTTTAGTGACAGTTTTTTCAACAGTATGATTTTAAAAAGTATAATAAGGTATGAAATGTTAAACCACTTCCATTATATGAAATTAATAATTAAAATAAAATAAATTTGTGTTCAATATATAATTTTATCAATTATTGTTATGTTGTATTTATCTTGTTAAAAACATTTAATTTGTATTTAACATTTGTTTCACAACAGCAATTACTTTTACATAAAGTTCATAATTACATAAAGATCATAATTAATTTCCCGCAGGGTAAATTATAGTAATCGCAAAAAAATCGAAAATGAACATTTTTGAATATTTTCACGTTTTGAAGGTTTCTGAACATTATGGAATACCTTAAAAAAATGATGTATGTATGTTTGGATACAATTTTTCGTCCACGATTTCGGCCGCACGAATCAACTGATTTGAATGATTCAAAAAACATTCGATTCCTATTGATGAGAAGACGTCCTGACTAGTTTTTGACAAAGACAGGTCCAGCCTTTTCGAAGACACGGAGCAAAAAGTACCAAAAACGGTAATTCACTTTTTGAAGTAACGAAGTACCCGATTTGAATGATTCAAAAAACATTTTACTTGTATTGGCAAAATGAAAAATTGATGAAATATTTTGGTAAGACAGGTCTAGCAGGTTCAAAGATTGAGAGAAAAAAAAAAATCATATTTGCGGTCAAAATTATTATTAGACATATGCACATCATATTATCAAATGTTTGATTTTTTAAAAATGCATTAAATTTGTTACAATTTTGTTGGGTTCCGTACCAAGATTGTTAATTTCTAAAGATTACTTATACGGTTAAAACTAATTTCAAAATATTCAGAATTTTTTTTTCAAAATTTTTAAAAACATAAAGTTTCATACTTTAAACATAAATTTGTATGTAATGTATATATTTCACATACGTTATTCTAATCGTAAGAAATTTATCCTCAGATGGATTTATTCCTCACCTCTTGCTAATGTAAACTTTCTCAAGTGTTTTGAGCGATAAGATCGTGACTGTATATTTTATGAACATATAGTGATTATAATGATCAATATTTATTGATTACTGATTTTCTTCCGTAGAATATTGAATTCTGGCACGGAAAGTTCAGCAATTTGCCTTAAGGCACAATGCCAAACACCAGTAGTTTTATTTAATACAATTTTACATACAAATCGAATTCACGCCACATTCTAATCACTGAAGTGATTTGTTACGAGGAGTATTGTATATAAAAAGTACATCCACTAAATCAAATTTATATATGTATAATATTTAAACCACAAAGTAATATTATGCATATAGTTAATACAGTATATAATATCCATGTTTAGTAATAAACGTAAATCTAAAGTAGGTATAAAATATCGTTAATCGTAAAAATTTGATTAATGGTTTGTTTTTGAAAATAATTTCACATACAAAAATCATCTTTTGATTATTTTAAATACTTTCTTAGAAGTAAGTTGGTAATACTACAACTCCAGAGAAGACATTTCAAATTAAGTTACCTTTAGTGACATAATATACTAAAAGTAAATTAATTGGTAATTAGTAAATGGTAAATGTAAAGTAATTCTAATAATTAAAAGAGACAGTTAAATTTGCATATAATAATCAATAAAAAATTGGCAACTTTTTTAAAGGGACATTATATACTATAAAAAAGTTGCCAATTCTTTCACGACTACTATATGTTTATTTAATTATGCCTTTCAATTAATAGAATTTCATTACATTCTACTATTCTTCCTTCTATTTTATTTTAATAAACCACCATTGTAAAATTATATTTAATCATAATTGTAAAAAATGTGAAATTAAAATAATATAAAAATGTAGTAAATTAACTACGTTTAAGGGAAATATCATCTATATAAGAGACAAAAATAGATAAACATGATCTCATACAAAGTTTTAACGCTAGACATATTTCTGTGAAATAGATATGTAAAAAGGAGAAAAACCGCTTATAATTGTCAGTAAATAAGTATAATAGATTACTCATAATTAATATTATAATTATGATTTTGTTTACACATAAATTACATAATAAATGATTAAAATTATGAGCAAACCTGGGAAAAGCATCGAAGAACCATGTTCGCTTGGTATTCGGGAAAGCAACCCTCATTCCTGACATAAGTGGTGAGTGTAAAATAACAGCACCAACTTCATATCTTGAAGCTAAATCAACTGTTGGAACAGTACCTATGCTTTGTCCGTATAATATAATGTTTTCAGGACTAATACCAAAACGAGTTCTCAGTGCATGCCAAGCAGCGTCTATGTCGGCATAGAGATTTTTTTCAGATGGCTTCCCAGCACTCATTCCATATCCAGAGTAATCATAACTAAATATATTGCAATTTATTCTAGAACCCAGCCCCAAGTAAAAACTACTCATTTGTCCTAAATCGACTGCATTTCCATGAGAAAATAAAATGGTAAATCTGGCATTGGTACTGCAACGCACAAACAAACATGCTATTCGATTGCCCCTCGAGGTCCGTGCAAAAAAACCTTCCACATTTTCCTTTTCTCGTTCAGAATATTGCCATTCGGCTCTATCGGTTAAATTTATAGTAAATTTAGATCCAGATTCATCGGCTGTATAATCATAAGTTGGTTCTGGCGGTAAAAATGCAAGTTTTGCTGCAATTCGTCCCGGACAAGGCGGACAGCAGAATAAGCAACAAAGCTCGCTAAAACTCAATCCATTCATTTTTCAGCTGGATGAATTACAGAAATCAATATTTTATAGAAACACTAAGGTAAAGAATTTAAGTCACGAAATGCACAACATCCGATTTCAGATAAATATAAATATGAACCGCATAAAAATAAATAAATACTTCAAATCACATTAAATGTATGGAGGCCATGATGAATTATATGGCTTAGAAAAACTCAACTCAAAGCACTGTATAGTACTTGACAGTACGAAGCTGTCAAAAATCTGTAAAAGGCGATGATGCCACATCGCACCATCTAAAGACAGAGTGGATTGAGTACACGGGTTTATTGTAACAGAATTGTCGCCACGCGTTTCAAGAGCACACTAGTGTCGATTACTAAAAGAATATTTGACTCAAACTTGGATATCGAACATGCTTATTTATCTATGAACTTGGATATCGAATATTGTGCCGTGCATTCCATTGCGCCTTAAGGTAAATTTACTGTAACAACTGTAACTTTAAAATTTTAAAACATAAATAAAGCTTATAAATTTTGAAAAAAAAAGATATACGAGAATTTTGACAATTTTGAAAAAAAAACTAGTTTAGAAAAACAAACTCCGGGAACTCTGAAAATTGGTAATTTTATAGATTTCGAAGTGCTCTTTCCGAATTTCAACATTGCCACCTCAAATTTTCACGGCAAGTAGTCGCCATATTGAAAAAAGAGCGTCAAAAACAGTTTTTGTTAAATATCTCCTTGCCGGCTCATTCTACGATAAAAGTAGCTATGCACGAATTAAACTAGATAAAATTTCCTACAATTTATTCGAAAACCGTTTTTTTGTAAAATTAATAGTTTGAGAGTAAGGGCGCCCCAAAGTCTTTGCTGCTCTCGCCGTATTACGGAGCTCTCCATATTTGTATTGTATTGTAAAACTACTTATAACTTAATTAAAACTAATAAATAATAAATGAATATATAATAAATAAATTAAATAATAAATAAACTAGCTGTAAGTGGAATTCTGTCTTGAGGCAATTATGGCATCGTGCCTTAAGGCAAAGTGCTGGAACTTACCGTACCGTAACGAAGTGTTCGTGGAATACTGAATGTTTTCAAATAGATTATTATAAATATTGTAACATTGTCTAATATTTATAAGAATTATATAAACTGAATTGCAGAGTTGAAATTATTTGCAAAGTATATTAGTACTATCGTCAGAATTAAAAATAAAATCTGAAATATTTTTGATATACAAAAAACTAAATAAAAAAAAAAAAATGGAACAATATTTTTTTTTCAAAATCAATTATTTTGTTAAAACAAGCAGAAAGTTCTTTGAATCATTTAAATCGGACGCTTAGTTCTCTCAAAAATTGCCATTTTTTACATATTTAGCCTCGTATCTTCAAAATGGCTGGGCCTGCCTTTGCCAAAAACTAATAAACACTTTTCCCAATCATTACTAATTGAATGTTTTTTAGATCATTCAAATCGGATACTCCGTTCTCTCAAAAATTCGATTTCTATTTTCTGCACTCTTTGCTCCGTATTCCCGAAACGGCTGGACCTGCCTTTGCCAAAAACTAATCAGCTCTTTTCCCTATCAATAGGAATCGAATGTTTTTTGAACCATTCAAATTGGTTGATCCGTACGCCCGAAAACGTGGACGAAAATTTGTATCCATACATACATACACACTCTCACACACACACACACACACACACACACACACATCCATTTTTTCTGAGATATGCCAAAACGTTCAGAAACCTTCAAAACGTCGAGAGATGTAAAAATTTTCAATACCGATTTTCGGCCCATTACAATAACTTACCCTACGGGAAGTTAATAATATCAAAATTGTAACATGTTAACATTGATATGATGTCATTGTTGTAATGGTATCATTGTGCGGACGGTTTGTAAAATTATTTAAATAAATAAATAAGTAATTAAATAAATAAATAGACGGATAAATGGATAAATAAATAAATATAATAATAAATTAGTTAATAATATAATTAAAAAAATAATAAATAATTGTTTTTTATCGTAGAATCCTCATATCATATCAATCCTTTGGTTGTTTGGTTAAGTATATTGTTTACATTTGTTCGAAAAGAGTGTCCTTTTCTTCCTCTTCGTCGCTAACTTGTGATGGAATTTGTGACGATCCAGCCTGTTCAGCGTTTAACTCATTCACTGCTGAACTTGATGATATAGGTTCGGAATGAATTTTGTCGTACTGCCTCTATCGGTGGTGAGAATGCAATGTTAAATATGATTTTAAATACTGATTGAATAGGAAGCTTGTATATCTATAGGTGTTTAAAGAATTTTTTTTGTTAGTTTTTGCGTCACTATAGCTGTATAATTTGAAAAGAAATCGTTTTGCAGCTGTATCAATGAGCTTCTGGATCAGCATTTGCATTTTTGAATATTTCGATAATTTTTTACTTTCCGTAGGGCAAGTTATAGTAATCGCAAAAAAATCGAAAATGAAAATTTTTATATATTTTTACGTTTCAAAACCTTCTGAATATTTTGGCATACCTTATAAAAAATGGATGTATGTGCGTGTGTGTGTGTTTTTTTTTTGTATAGCGAAGGAAATGCCTTTATGCATCCCAGACTGGTGTTCTGTCTGGGTATGTCGGACTCAATAATACCCTGGTATAATACCGACTAAAACCTCCGCTTTGCCCTTGCCTCTGGTTCCCACGGAAACCACCGTTATGTGTGTGTGTGCGTGTATGTGTGTGTGCGGATGCAAATTTTCGTCGACGATTTTGGGAACACGGATAAAGCGATTTGAGTAATTGAAAAAACATTCGATTCGTATTGATAAGGAGACATGCGGATTAGTTTTTGGCGAAGGCAGGTCTAGCCTTTCCAAAGATATGGGGCAAAAAGTGCCAAAAACGGTAACTCAGTTTTTAAGAGAACGGATTAAGCGTTCGATTTGAATAATTCAAGAAAACCATTTTACATGTATTAACAAGATGAAGAACTGATCAAATTTTCATGAAGGTAAGTCTAGCAGTTTTGGTGATCTAGTAAAAAAAGTAAAAAAAAATGGCATTGGCGGTCAAAAATGATCATTGGACTTATGCACATCAAATTATCAGATATTTTATAGAGATTTTAACAATAAGTATAAATTTTGTTTACATTCCTATGGGTTCCGTACTAATGTTTATCCGTTAGACGGCGACGCGGCGCTTACGCGCTTCGATATTTTGTCTCTATGCAGTTAAAGCAGTACGATTGCTTTGAAAAAAAGTTCAGAATTTCCAAAATATTTCAAAATAAATTATTCTTAAAAAAGTCTTTTTTTCAAAAAAAAGTAAATTTTTGTCAAAAATTTATAGTTTCTCAAAAATCTAATTTTTTCAAAGTATTTTTTTTTTCAAAAATGTTAATATTTAAAAAAAGCAATTTGCCTTAAGGCACGATGCCATGTGCCCCGCTAGTTTTGTAATACGTTGATTTATTTTATTTTGCCTTGACTGAAAAGTGCGGATGTCGTATCACAGCCGCTGATGGCGTGCAAAAAGAATAAGTGATCTGTGGCAGTGTTAACTATGATACTGTTTTTTTGAATAGATTTGTTGCAATTTTTTTTTCCCTGGTTTCACTAAATATGCGTTGATTGAGCCGTCAAAGGAAAAAGAAGATCTACGTCCTCGCCAATAATTATCTTGGAATCAAATGTCGTCGCCAAGCTTATCGCTGTAATAACTATTAATGCATCCGCATCTTCCGTGGCTTGTTTGATCATAAAGTTTTCAGCTTCAAATTTTGTCTTCCAAACCAATTAGCGTATGACCTGCTAAAGCCTTTACCGCCAAAGCGTCTCAAAAAAAGAATCGGCAAATATTTGCTGCAACAAAACACATAATATCTAAGAAGGTGCTATGGCAGAATAGCGATCCTTCTCACGCTGTCATGTAAATATACCTGTAAGATAGCTGAGTGTACTGTGTGTATAGTTTGCTAAGTACAATGAAAAAAAAATGTCTTCAACATTACAATGAGGCTCTTCTTGTTTATACCGTTAGCCAAGAATTTATTTTGTGGTACAGTTGAAATCATTGTCTCGTCAAAAATTATATCTACTGAAGCAATTTTTCTTGATCGTCGGGTTCGCCCTGCATATTCGGTACTACGATTTATATCTTGCGGATATCCATCAAATACGACAATAGCATTGGATGTATAATTTCATCGAGAGAACGTATTTTTTGCCCGCGATGCCAAACGCGACTCGATTTAATAGGTATCCACCGTCGATGATATACGTTGTGTCTACAAAATTTATATCTTCGGAATGTGGTTTAAATTCCTTATACATAGAAGGCTTAACGCACTTACGCATATCTTCGCAAGTTGGTACGAAAGAAAGTTTTCAAGTGCTTTTTCAGATGCTTTTGCAATGCACATTCTTTGGAAAATCAACAAAGGATAAATCGGGACAATAACGTCTTTTATTCCGATACCTGCATTCATAACACCAAGTGATTTTACTCTGTCATTTCATTTGAATTTTACGATACAGAAATCGCTGCCTATAATATTAGAAATGCTAGAAAAGTGTTCAGTTATCAGCAGAAAAACAGAAAAGTATTCAAATTATTTTATTTATAAATCTTAATCGCTTAATTTAACATTGAAAATATTTATTTATTAGAGAGTGTGGTCAAATTCAAAGAGCAGTTAAATATGGAGATCCGTTATGACGACGAAAGCAGCAAAGAATTTGAAGCGCCCGTACTCTCAAACTATTAATTTTACAAAAAACGGTTTTGGAATAAATTGTATGAAGTTTTATCTAGTTTAGTTCGTGCATTGCTACTTTTATCGTAGAATGAGCCAAAAAGGAGATATTTAAAAAAAAACTGTTTTTTAGAGATGGGCTTATCATATCCGAAGCCGGAGCGGTTATTTGACTCCGTTTCAGAGAGGAGTTATATCTACTTAACAACTCCACAACTCCGACAACTTTGAAACATAATACTTGACACAAATGTGTTCTCTAGTGTATACTAATAATTATATAATATTAATATTTGTTAATTATATAAGTTAATATATTGTTAACATATCTAAGGATTTATTAAGACTTTGAAAATAGTTTACAAATAGTTCAAACATTTTTGTTCATTTTAATTTAATAATTACTATTTTATGCATTTCAATATGCATA